CAATTAAATTTTATCACATCTTTTGAAATTATTAGTTTTTTTTCTTAGTCATATTTAAAGTTGGTAAAATTTTTTACTTTTAATCTTATTTTACTATTCAAATATCTACTTTGAAAATGTTGATGGATTATTTTTCATATTTATATTTGAACTATTTTTCTCTTGAATATTTTATAACTTGCAAAAATCAAAGACGAAAAGACAAAAGACAAAATTAAATCACTCTATTTAAATAATAAAATAAAATTGAATACGTTATTACAAAATTATTTATGTAGAAGTCTATAAAATATTTATCTATTATATTCTTATATTTTATTTTTTAATTATTTAATTTTTAACTAAATTATATCACATATATTCGAGCAGTTAAATATTTCTAATCCTATATAAAGTAGGATTACATTTTACCTCTTTTATTATTTACCAACTCAAAATAGTATTATTTTTAAATAGATAAATCTTTAGAAATGTGGCTAAATCTAATTAAAAAATATATTTGATACTTGTTTAAATCTAACCGATTGACTCAAACATGCCTCATAAGATTTAATTATCTATCGATTTATTGTAACAAAGTTTTTGGTTGAATATAATTTTACATTCATTAAAAAAACAATTTCAAGGAAATAGATTTTGCTTATTTAAGGAAATTGTTTTAAACAATGATGTGATTTGTTTGTTAAACCTAAAAAGACCAGCAATATTATTCTTTTAATAATTTTTTTAAGGCTTCATCAAGTTGTGATTTGTGAAATTTCTTGGCTGGTGCTAAAACGTTGGATAGAAGCATGACTTTGGGCATTAGTGTTGGGCCTGGACCTGCGGCCCACCAACCTGAACAGTTCGGAGGTTCAGGTCGAAAGGAGAAGCCAAAGCCCGTCAAGTCTGGAGAAGCCCGAACGGCTGCCCGAAGCCCACTCCGAACTTTAACCACGGTCTGAACGCACCTAGGGGATAACCGCGGTTAGCTGAACTCGAGTTAAACCCAACACCGTTCACTATAAATAGATGTCACGGGACAGTACAGGAGGGCATTCACTCTCCTCTCAAGAAATACAAGTACCACTAATCGCGAGTTCGCTAAATTGTAATCTTTTATACTCAACATCTAGTAATTCCGGTCTGATCAATCTACTACGATCTCCGGACAAGCAAATTGATAGCCCGGGATCTGTCCGGACTATTTTTAGCGATCTATTTGTACTTATCCTCCTTTGACTCAACTTTCTATACACGGAACTCTCCGACCTCCGATCTATTATAAATTCATTGTCGACCTCCTTGGATCAACAATTGGCGCGCCAGGTAGGGGACTTGGAGATTTTCTAACGCGAAGAAATATGAGTCCGAACGTGTCCGCAAGTCAACCTCCCGGAGAAACGTCAAATCAGGGAATCTTAGAAGCAGCCCGCGAAGCTCCACTCATCACAATGGAGTCCAGCCCGGTCATTACACAGACCCCCGCAACAAATGAAGAAACGAACGCCACAGCACGTGGCCCCGAAGCAATAACAAATGCGGACGAACAGATTGATCTTGTTCGCGTCCTGGGAACCCTCATGAGACGTTTTGACCAACAAGACGACATGGTTCGTCAAACAAACGCCCGTCCGGATTCCCTCACAACGGCTCAGAACGTCATACAAGAGCAGCTTGACTCCTCACGACCTGCAAACTTGCAACATCCCAGGGCAAACTCGTCTCCGTCTCTCGCTGAAGGACATGGACGCCCAACCATTCCGCATCGGACTATTGACTTCAATACTCTGTCGCGAACTCTGATCAGCATGCAACTCGAACGCGCAACCCATTCGAGAGAACACTCTCCAGCCCACGATTCTGAGCTCGAGAACATTAAGGCTTCACTTCGAG